AAAAAAAAAAAACAGTAAAAATGTCATATCGTGTGGTATACCTCTGAAAATCGCTATCTTTGTGCTATTAAAAGTTTAAAATATCAGTAGTCAAACAAAAAGGTCTTTTCCTTTCGTCTTTTTTTTTTTTCCTTCCTTAAAAATTGTTAGCAGTACTCCAGTACTAATAGTGTTAGTATGCGTTATTAAAAATAGGTTTTCTGTGTGCATAAAAAAAAAATGGTTTTCTGTGATTATAGAGTATATATTAAGATTATTTTTATTAAAAACATACATAAAAAATATATTAATATTAATTTTAATATTACTAATTAGTAAATAAATTTAATTACATGACAATAACTTAAAATAAATTTATAATAAAAAATTTATTAATACCTTCTTAACAAAGATAATGAAATTTGAAATTAAAAAAAAAAGAAAGAAATATTATTTGTATTAGCCAATAGGGAGAGGGGCTACGCCGCTAGAGCCATAGTACCCAAAATCCTAAAGGGCAGTGTGCAAATCAATTTTAACTTCACGCGCTGGGGGCAGGGTGTAAAGATCTGGCGCAGTGCAGTTGGCATAGGAAGGGGGAATAGGAATGAATGCGCGTGAAAGTGTACGTACAGAGGGGAAGCGCGTATCCCAAGGAAATGGTGATAATTCCTCTGGGTCTGGGTTTTGCAGAAAATACATGGATATTCTGTCTACAGGCAGAGCGCAGAGGGCAGGCAGTAGCTGCTGTTTTAGTAAATGCAGTTTGTCCTCCTCAATCCCCGACATCATTTTTTCTTTTCCTCTTTAACGGTTGGGTCTTCTCTGATTATATAATAGCATTGTGTATTTTGAAACTATTTTATAATATTTATCCAAGCCTAAAAAAATAGAAAAATAGCGAAAGAAGAATACTATATTTAACATGAAAATACCCTAATTGACGGAAAAATTACAGGAAAAGTGAAAAAAATTTACTATTACAAAACAGTTAATAAATATTGAATCTCAACCCTATAACTCTCCAATCTTTGCAAGGACCGTCTAATCTTTTGTAATATATTTTGCTCTCCCCACTTAAAAACTCTCAATAACATATAAGAAAATTTTATTAAACTATCTATGATATAAAAGCTTTTTTCAATATTTTAATTGAGTAGAAAAATTTCACTATCTCAATAACTAAAGGTAATGAAGGCATGCTTTCTCATTCCTCATATAGGTGGGATTAATCCACACAACTCTTAGCCAACAACATAATTAAATAACTTAATAATATTTTTGTTATAACAGAAATAGTAAATTTTAAATTCAAATATATGACATAATATACGAGTAGAATAGATTAAAGATTAAAAAATATTACTTTTCATTATACAATACAAAATGAAATGTATATCTATATATATATTGAGTAACTACAAATATATGGAGTAAAAATTCAAATCTTACCCAAACTTCAAGTCCACAATATTAGATTTTGCATGAAAAATCAACTATTGTTGCACTCAAATTGGTTCAAGGGGTCTACCCCTCTCAATAGCGGTCAACACCTCCCTTTGATTCTCCACTTCAATATTGCAATTAGCATCCCAGAAGTTGGCCCCTTCCCCTAAGGGTTGATACGTGTAAGATAGAATAATCACGCTGCGAATATCTCAAACTTGTTTAAGATTTAACCCTAAGATGTAAAATTTTTATAATTTGAGCAATTTAAAGCATAAATTCAAACAAATTAATCTAAAACACTAAATAGTAACTAACTTATCATCTTTAGAGAGTATAGGTATCGCTAGAAGAGAATAGCATAAGTACATAGTAAAAAAGATGTTATTGTTTACAATTCAAATAATTCTGTAAATGGTAACCACATTTATCATTTAGCTCTACCAAACTAAGGGAGAAAGAAATATCTCCCACTCCAAACAATTTTAGAGGTTTAGCCCCATATTAATTTGGTGTGTTTAAGAAATTTAGTTTGTTTAACTATTAATTTCAAAACTTGAATAATGAATTTAGTCTACAAAACAATATTTTCTTATTAGTTTGCCTAATACTTTACTTTTTATTTTAATGTTAGTTATTAGTTGTCTCTATAATTATAAGATTTTATAAACTAATTTGCGAAAAGCGAACTGCTTGCAGAATAAAAAATAACTGTCACATCTTTTAACTTATCTCATTTATATATTTTGTTATTTAAATTCAAAGTCTTTTATTTTTATTAGAAAAAGATTATCATTAAGATACTTTTTTAAGCGAGTTTATCACTTAAGTACTTAGGGCTTGTTTAATAAATTTTTTTCACATATTGTTTTTATAGGGTAGCTATGGGTCTTTATTAATATGGCTTGGCTCAAGAAATGAAAAATCTTGATATAAAAATCAAAGCAAAAAATAATCAATTTTATTATAATTTAAAACAATTATATTGAAACATAATTGATTACATTACATGTAATCAAATATAAACTTAAGAAACTTCTTTTCTCATTTTTTTTTTTTTGACAAAAAACAATACTTAGGTATTGTAATTGATAATAAACATTATAATCCATTACTTCAAATAATTATTTTTTTGGCACACATTTCAATACTTAAGCCCATAATCTTGACTTCTCCATAAATTTTCTTGATAAAATTGTGAACCAAACACGCCCTTAGGTTTTTTCTTTTTATTAAATGTGTCACGTAAATAGGTTCCCGCGTTAGGTGTTTCAATTTATTTAAATTGTATTCATAAATTGCAGTTTGTCTAAGCAAAATAAATGGCCTTCAGATAGTTGGCAAGATGGTCAAGGGAAGACTTTAGAAAATAACGTGATTTGATTTTGATTGGCATCAGAAAAATTCTATATACGGAAACGCTATTACCCACTGGTCCCACTTACGTGCCCTTCTCTAATTCTTCAGTACCATTTAGCCGTTGATTATTCTTATTCTTCAGTGGACGGTGTGGATCTGCTGTCAAGTTTGCAATGTCTTGTTTGTCTTTCGCCTGCAGTAGTTGACTTCTCAGTTTCACTTCACATCAAAAACTGCGTTTCTTCTTTTTCACAAGTTTCTTTCTCTTTTTAATTTTTTTTTTTAAATTTTCGTTTCTTTATATTTTTCGTTTTCTCAATCATAATTCTTTTTCACAATATCTAGATCTCATTTTTACTTTTTCAACTTTAGTTTTAATTATCATAGCAACATTCTAAAACCGAATCCAACCATTTGTTCGACCAATTCAATCAAGAAAAAGCAGAGTCTAATATTTTAAATTTTATTTAGTTTAATTGTTTATGAGTAATTATAATAATTAACTCTATTAAAATATGTATAATAAAATAATATATAAACTTATTTTTATATCATATTATCATAATTAATATTATTTTATATAAATTTATATTTTAAATATTAAATTTTTTTAATATAATTATATATATTTTATTAAATAATTAATTCTTTTATTTATTTAAAATTTATAATATTAAGTACATTTAATAATTTTATAACATATAAAAACCATATAAAAAATTAAAAAATTATTTTTATACCACTACTCTTTAAAAATTTAATTATTAAATAAAATTCATAATAAAACAAATTTTCTCTTTGTATATATATATATATATTTCGAAACTCGTACCAAATGATCAACGGCTGGACAATTGAGAGTTTGCAAAGCTTGATTTGATGTGAAGCAGCGCAAAATCCCCTGCTTTAAACAGACTTAAAAAAAAAAAAAAGGAGGGAGAGAGTTAGCTTGTTACAGAGAGGATTTTTTTTTTTTTTTAATTTTTATTTCAAGTTAGGGGTAAGAGTCGTTCTCCCTACCTTTGTAGATTTATATAAGTAGTTTTTAGTAAAAGGGATGGTAATACTAAATTATTACAACGTTTTCAAGAGACTTCTTTCTTTTATTATAGGGATTTAAGAAGGTATTAATGGAATAATATGTTATTTTTATTATAATTTTAAAGTGAATAGTAAAAAAATTCTTATTGTATATATTCTTAAGAAGCAACAAAAATTATATTATTAACTTTAATCAAAATAATAATAATATTTAAATTATAAATAATAATAATTATCAAATATCAAATATTTGTCATGAAAATTGTTCTCGAAAGATAACCAAATAGAGGTTTAATGTATAAAATCAAAACTAGGGTCGACTTGGCCAAATTTGATAAAACCCGATCAAAGTTGAATCCAACCAAACTAGACTTGATAATTTTTCTCTTTTTTTGTATTTTAATTATTTTTATTTTACCACAACATCATTTATCTATGTAGCTAGTTGTATTAATTGGTTTGATCAATATATTGAACTACCAATATAATTTGGTCATCTTTTAGTTTTTTTTCTTTTTTAATTTTAAATTGTATAATAAAAATAAATT